TGGGGCCTGAGGGTGTGGGCCTCACGGTGTTGGGGGGCTGAGGGTGTGGGTCTCAAGAGTTTCATGGACTGAGGGTGCAGGCCTCTTGGTCTGTGGGCCTGAGGGTGCGGGTCTCAGGGTTTCGTGGACTGAGGGTGAGGGTCTCAGGGTTTCGTGGACTGAGGGTGCAGGTCTCAGGGTTTCGTGGACTGAGGGTGCAGGCCTCTTGGTATGTGGGCCTGAGGGTGCGTGTCTCGGGGTTTCGTGAACTGAGGGTGCGGGTCTCAGGGTTTCGTGGACTGAGGGTGTGGGCCTCTTGGTGTGTGAGCTCAGGTCCTGGCTGTGTGCTCTCAAACACGCAGGTGCCCTTATCCATGAGTGGGGTCTCCAACTAGCCCTGTGGGCCATGTGGGCTTCCCTGGAGGTGGTGTGTGAGGACGTCTGGGGGTGCGACATCTGGTGCCAGAGTGTGGAGACAGCACCCCCAGGGGAGGGTCTGCCCCGTGGGCTCTGGGATGAGGGTGTCCCCTGAAGTCCACAGTCAGGTGGCTGAGGGAACAGGATGGGCTCCTCGCAGACCCTTTCACCGACCACCCACATGGTGAGGAGAGGGGCCAGGCTGTTTATTAGCATTCCTGGAGGGCTCACGGCCTGGGAGCTGCGGCTCATTTGGAAGGCGCTGGGTCCTGCGCCCAAGTGGGCTGTTTCCAGGAGGGCCCACTGGAGGGAGAAGGGCTGGCTGGGGCCGGGAGGCTGCCTGGTTCTGCCTTTCAGGTCAGTGGCTTTCCTGCCCCTAGGCTTGGGGGACCCTGCCAGAGTCTGTTTGCTCCTGATCATCCTGACCCCTTGGGGGGCGGGGCCCAGGTGAGGGCCAGCAGGCAGGTCACAGCTTCTTTTTGGGGCAGTGCTGCAGGGCCTCCCTCAGGGCCTCTGTCACGAGGTCCACATTCTTGCGAGTGGCATTGCAGCCCATGAGCCCGATCCGCAGCACCTGGTGGGGGGGACATGGGGCAGGCCAATGTCAGCCTCCTGCCTGCGGCCCACCTCACCGTGACCGAGGGCTGGCCAGAGCCACCTGGGTGAGGACCACCCACCCAGTGTCCACGAGGGGAGCTGAGAGCCCCGTGCAGGCCACAGAGGAGACCCCAAACGCCTGGGCCAGGGCAGGCTCTCGTCCCTCTGTACCCGCAGCGCTGTGGGAGGGCGGGTGGTGCCTTGGAGGCCTGTCCACACTGCCGCTCAGAGACACAGCGGGCACAGGCACGGGACTTAAAGGTGGCCCACGTAGAATCATCAAGGCTGCACCCGGTGACCTCAGCAGGCTGGGTGGGAGCAGGGCGGGAGGACTTGCTTTGCTTGGATGCCCCTTGGAGAGCAGGGCCCTTCTAGATGCTCCTATCTGGGCTCTCAGAGGACCCCGGCCTCCCTAGACCTGGTGACAATCCTGCTCAAGGAGGGGTGTCAGGTTTGGTTTCTACAAAAGGCCCTCCAGGTGCCCTCTCACCTTCCCCGTGGAGGGCCCGAGGCCCCCCGTGATCTCGATGCTGAAGCGGTCTATGAGGTAGCTGACGATGTCCCTCCAGTCATAGCCGGCGGGCACAGCCACAGTGGTGACCGTGGGCAGCCGCAGCACCTGCAGGAGGGGCCCGCTCAGCAGGTGGGGAGAGGCCCTGCACGGGCCCGAGGGACAGCTCTTGGCCAGGGCCATCTGCCCCGGCTTCAGGTTCTAGAGGGGCCAGGAGGAGAAAGGGCCTGGAGGGAACAGGGTTCCCACCCCTCAGGAGGCGGCGGGGGATGGGCAACCTCTCCCTGGGAGATCACAGGCCTTCCTGAGACCTGGCATCGGAGGCCCGGAGCTGTGACTGCTCCCTGGCCCCGGGGCCACACCACTGGGCAGCTGCCCCTCGTTCTCAGGACCCAGCGTCCCCACTGAGGGGGCTGGGCAAGAGCCCCTCATCCTTCCCCATGGGTGCAGGGCTGCCCGCTGCCGGGGCCTCCTCACCGGGTCCTTCACGAAGAGCCGCAGCCCCAGCGCCTGCAGGCGCCCGTGCAAGTACGCCGCGGCCTCGCGGTGCTGGCGCCAGCTGTTCTCCAGGCCCTGCGTGGGAGATGGCACCGGTGGGCAGTGGCACGGGTGTGGCGGGCAGGAAGCCCCGCCCTCTGCGGCGCAGGGGGAAGGGGCTGACTCGCTGGCCTTGGTGCAGGGAAGCCTTCAGACCCTCCAGTTTAGATTTCCCCGGAGGCAAAGCCTGAGACTACCCCAGGGCCAGGAGGAAACCTCTGGGTCTGAGAGAGCCGTGGGGGGTGGGGTGGGGTCTGCCTGTGTCCCCTGGGGGAGAGAGGGGGAGAGCACCTTGCCGCAGGGAGGAGGTGGGCAGGGAGGAGGGGAAGGGCTGTTGGCCACACAGGGCCGGGGTGGATTAGGGCCAGGGCTCAGGGTCCCCGCTCCCCCATCCTGGCATCCTCCCCAGAACCGCTCCTGCCTCAGCTCTGGACGGGCGAGCGGTGGTCCTTCCAGCCCTGGGCCTCTCAGTGCCATCACCTCTGGTCACAGGTCCTCCCGGCCTCCCACCACAGCTCCCATGGCCACCCCAGGTGGGACCCCGGGGCAGCAGGTACTCTTTCCTCTGGCTACCCTGCCCATCTTCCCTGTGCATGTGACCCCGCAATCCACACTCTGCCAGGTCCCCGAGCCCGCCGCCGCCCTGTGCCCTGCCGGCTAGTCCTGCTCTCTTCCTTCTCCGCCCAGCTCACACCCCCACCCATCTTTACGCCCCAGAGCCTCTCCCTGTGAGTGCTCAGCACCTCGCCTTCCTGAGGGGTGTGGGTGACGTCTGGCTTCCGGGGGCACCCGGCACTAACCCAGCCCTAGGCAGTGGTTTTATGAGTAGACCCAGGAGGCCAGTGTGGCAGGCATGGCCCTGCAACCTCACGGGAAGCTGGCCACAGCCCAGGAGCCCTTCCTGGACTCTGGACTGGTGGCTGGCAATGGGCCCCACAGGACAATAGGACCCAGATGAAAGTAGGTGGGGCTTCCTGTCTCGTGTCCTGCAGAGCCACTGGGCCTGCGTACTGACAGTGTGGACACTGCAGTGGCCAAATCAACCCCGGGTCACAGCCAGCCGCGCCTGCTCAGCTCTCGCCCTGCCATAGGGGCTGGACCAGCCTCCGGGACTGCCGACCCCTCGCTGTCCATCCACCGCCCACCTGCAGGCCGCACGCCTCTGCCCGCTTCCGCCTCCCCTTCTCCCTGCCCACCTCGCCGGGCCTCACTTGCTGCCTCACAGCAACAGAAGGGATGGAGCGTCCACACCTGCCTCACTGCTGCTTCTGCCCCCTGGGCTCTGTCCTCCCGGCCGTGCCCACGGCCAGTGTGCCTGGGGCCCCGCCCTCTCCCCCACCCCACGGAGGGCCTCCCTGGCAGGCTCCCTTCCCTCCGTGCACCAGGGACATTTCCGTCTCTGCAGGCTGCGCCCGCGGCAGTCCGGCCGGTGGCCGTGTCTCTTCTGGTGGGAGTGCCGTCCACGCACCTGCTCTGCAAGGAGGGCCAGGCCCTCTCTCAGGCTGTACAGGCTGATGACGGGGGTCGTGTGATGGTACCTGGAAGACATGAGGGGCTTCGTCCAGCACCACGGGGGGGGCGGGGGCAAATGGGGCATTAGCTCTGTCTGCCCCAGCCCCGACAGCACAGGCTCTGACCACAGACCGGCCTTCTCCACCGGAGTCCTGTCTGGATTCAGAACGTTGGACTGGGAAGGCAGCTGCGTCTGCCAGGGAGAGCACGGCTTGGTGTGGGGGCCGGCTAGGATGCAGTGGGCAGCTGCAGGGGCAGACACGCGCCTGAACCTCCCCGCCCGCACTCCCCGCCTGCACCTCCCAGCCACCACCTCCCCGCCCCTCAGCCCAGTGTGCCCAAGTAGCTAGCAATGGCCCTCCATGCCCACTGGGCTAGGGCACCATTCCTGGCGCCTTGTCCCTGTGTGTAGCATAAGGGGCCTTGGGTTTATGGCCAAGGTTGTCTTTTGAGAGGGGGGAAAATGAGGCCTGGGAGTGGGGAGATATGGCAGGGTCAGGCCAACAGTGCCCGAGGGTGCGCTGGGACTTCTGGGGAGGACAGTGTTTGTGGAAGGGTCTGGGGGCCATGCCCCTGCCCGGAGCCTCGGGCCAGGGAACCTAGGGTGGGGCATTTGGTGGCCTGCAGCAGGCGAATTCTGGGGCTCTAGTTGGGGTTCATGGGGCAAGGAGGTGGGGGGCTTGCAGAATCCCTGATCGCAGGCCTCTCAGCCATGTCCAGCACCCCCGCCCTCGTGTCCCTGCTGGGCCTCACATCCTGGGCTGGCCGTCACAGCCCCAGAAGTTGGCCAGGCACTTGATGTCCAGGTAGAAGGAGGGGGGCTTTGTCTTGCGGGAGTAGATCTTGTTCCTGGGGAGGAAGAAGCCGCCTGAGCCCTGGTCCCTCAGTTTGGGCTGAAAGCCAGGCGGTCTGTCGGCTGTCCTGTTTCACAGGAATGAGATGGAGGGGCCCCAGGACGGCCTGCCCAGCTGCATTTGTGCTCAGGGGCCAGTGTGGGACCAGGCTGGCTGTGGGACCCTCAGCTGTCCAGTCCTGCTGACCCTTGGGCCCAGGCTGCACCTCTGCCCACATGGGTGTGACCCCGCCATGGCGGCCCCGGAGGCCGGCTCCCTCCACTCTGTGCACCCCTTTCTCTCCCCCAGGGTCAGATTTCATTTCCTCATCACCCAAAGGTGACTGCTCTCAGGCCCCCAGGCCAGGCTTGAAACTTGAAATGTGTCCGTCTCCACAACGCCAGGTTGACCAGCCAGCCCGGGCCTCTCCTCAGGCTCCTGAACACACCCAGCTGCCCCCTTGACCCTCCCTGTGGTCCAGCAGGCACCTGGGTCCTCCCCTTCCAACAGTGAATTCCTGATGTCACCCCGAAGTCCTCTCTGTCCTGGGGAACGGCACCTCCCGTTGCCAGACTGCAGCTGGATGAGAAGCGCCTGTGAGGCCTGCCCCCTCCCCGACCCTTGCCCAGCCTGGCTCAGCATCTGGACTCTAGTATGGGAGGTGAGATGAGGGCGGCAGGGGACACCGTGTGTGGCCCATGTGTCCCTCGGTGCAGCCCCTGGAAGCTGAGCCAGGGTGGAGGCTGTGTGGAGGCCGTGTGGGGCTCTGGGCCACAGGCCCCCAGTCCTTTCCGGGCCACTCCTTGGTGTGACGCTGGGAACTCCCGGAGCACCAGACTCTGCGCCCTGCGCATGCCGGAGGCCCTCCCCTCACCCGGCCCCCCACTCCCCGTGAACGCAGTGCCTGTGGCCCCCCAGCGCGTGGGGAAGAAAGCACCAGGTGCTGGGGGAGCCGGGGAGCCCTTCCTGCCGGCTCCAGCCCCTCCCGCCTCGGCTCCCTGAGCGGGGTGAGGGGCTGTGGGTCACTCACTTGGCAGTGTCATTGAAGGAGAGGAGCGAGGTCCCTGGAGGGGCGTTCAGGACCTTCTGGGAGCCCGAGTACAAAATGTCGATGCCTGCAGGAGGGCAGTTTGCTAGGGACGGGGACCCCACCCCCAGGCAGGCCAGTCCAGCGCAGTGCCCTCCTGGCTAACAGGCTGAAGAGCTACAACCCCACCAAGAATCCATGTACGATGGCGGGGAGACGCAGAAGGGAGTCCTGGGTTCCAGTCTCCACGCTGCTGCATGGCTGCCACGACCTCAGCCTGAGCTTTTGAGCGCCGCTTCTCCCTCCACTGTGCTCGTCCCAGGGACAGCCCTGCCACCCCTGCACTGCACCCCTGGGCTCCTCCCCAGGTCCCTGCTTTCAGTAGCAGTGTGAGGGTCACCCCAGATATCCCTTCCTTCCTGCCTGACAACTCCCAAATCAGGAGGGGCTCTGTGGAAACAGGCTCCATGGAGCGGGCGGGGCACCTCGGTGGTGCGGGGTGCAGGCTCTCCTCCGAGAGTGGCTGGGCACGGGAGGTCCCTCGGCCGGCCTGGCTGAGGTTCCCTGCAAGGTGACCCTGACAGAGGTGCTCACTGCTATGGGCAGCCTGGCAGGGTTCGGGGTGGACGAGAAATGGAGCCTCTGGGGGTTGGGCAGAGGGGTCCCCTATGCCTGATTGGCTGGAGCCCTGCCCCTTGCTCTTCCCACCGCCCCCGCTATAGCTCTGGGGCCTCTCAAATGTCTCCCACCAGCAGCTGTCCCTCCCGCCAGCCCCCATGCCTGGATCTGACAGATCAGTGGAAACACGGGGTGCCGGGCAGTTTCTGGAGCTGCTCTTGCCCCAGTAAGCAGCGAGTTTCCAGGCCAGGTGGAGATGGGGCCGAGTCCTCACTCCAGCCAGGCTTCCTGCATGTGGAGTCTGAGGCAGCTCAGGCAGGGTAGGGCCCCGGGGCACACCCTTACCTTGCTGGTCCATGTACAGAGGGGTCCCACCCAGGGATGCCACCGAGTCCACCAGGAGCAGGCACTTGTACCTGGAGGGGCGGGGACGAAACTGAGGGCCCAGGTGAAGCGGGGGCCTCTGGAGGGCTCGGGCCCCAGCCTGGATGGGGTTTCTGGAGGTACCTCCAGAGCCTTAGGCTGGCAAGGAAGGGGGTGCCTTCTGCCACCGCCCAGGAGTTTGAGCCTTAGGCTGGCAAGGAAGGGGCTGCCTCCCGCCACCGCCCAGGAGTTGGCCGCCGCCTTGTCAGGATCCACTGGGACCTGTGACTCTTCCTTTCCCACCTGAGCATCGGTGCAGAGGGAGCTGGGGATCAAGGGAGCGTCACAGCCCTTGAAGGCCCCAGCTGCAGGGCCCTGAACCACTGCTGGAGAGGGTCAGCCGGGCAGTCTGGGGTCCCCAGGCATGGCAGGCGGCTGAGGGCCCGTGTGGACCCCAGGGGCCAGGGTGGCACCAGGCTGGGCCACCCTCTGCTGACAGCTGCTGGCCAGAGCCCGGGCCTGGTGGGGGACAGCAGCACCCTCGCCCTCCTCCACCTCCATGTTTTCTTGTTAAGAAAAAAAAAGACACAGAAAGTATCTCAGGCTGGTCGCAGGTGGGGCTGGCTTGGGCGTTGCTGCGCCCGGCCTGGGTTATGTTTGCGAGCGTTATTCACGGCCACGGCCATGCCGCAAGCTGTCCGGACTGGGACCTGCCGGAAGGACCCTCCCTGACCATGGAGTTTCCCTCCTCTGTCCTGTGCTCAGCCCTGCAATGGGACTGCTGGGTCCCAAGGGGCTCTGTCCCCATTTCCCAGGGGATTCCATCTGACTCCATTCAAGGCCCAGCCCTGTGCCCCCTGTGCGGGGGGAGGGAGGCTAGGGGAGGGAAGTGGAGGGCTTCAGGCAACTTTAGTGCCCTGGCAACCTTGGGTAGGGGTGGGGCAGGCCCTGGCAGGATATGGAAGTTCGCAACAAGCCCTCTCCAGCCATGGGGACAGAGGTCAGTGGGCACTGTGAGGGTGCCCGGCTGGAGAGCACCAGAGCCTGCCCCTGGACCTGGGCTCATCTTTAGACTCAGCCCAGAGCAAAGAGGACCTGGGAGGTGCCTGCACCCCACACCGTGTGACAGAGGCTGGGGTGGGAACCCGGGCAGAGGGACCAGTGCCCACCCCTCCCCACAGCCTGGCTTCGAGCTGGGCTCCGGCCCACCATGCTGGGGCCAGGCTCACCTGTGACAGAGCTCCCCAAAGCCGTCAAGGGGCTGCAGCACGCCGCTTGACGACTCTCCGTGGGTCAAGAACAGTAGCACTGGCTTGTGCTGGGCCAGGCCCTGGGGAAGCGGGGACAGCTGAGGGTGGAGCTCGGGAGGCGGGGGCCAGGATCCCCACAAACACCCTCCACGGGTGGTGCAGCTCCAGGGAGCAACAGCTGGGCATGCCTCCACCCCTCCCTGATGGTGTGCATGGGAGGAGGGGGCTGGCAGCATCTGAGCTCTGGGAGGACGGCTTTTCCAAGAGCAGGACTTTTGCGCAGAGAGGGAGGAGTGGCCCCAGCCTGCCGCCCTCTGTGAGGCCTGTTGCTGGATGGACCGAGTCCCCATGCTCAGGGCAGGTTGGGGCTGACTTCAGCCCACAAGGTGGGGTATCTTGAGTGTCAGGGAATTGCCCTGAGCCCCTGACCCCAAGCCAGCCTCCTGCCTCCAGCCCCTCAGGCCCTGCCCACAGGACCAGGCTCCTGACTCAGTTTCCTTGCCAGAGAGAAGCCTCCCAAACAGTCTTCCCACCACTCCCAGGGAATGGAACCCTCCCCTGTAGCCGGTCACCAGATGCTAGGATGGGCTGAGGGCCAGCCGTGGGCCCCAGCCTACTGGCCCTGACCCCAGCCTGCTGGCCGGCCGCTTCCCGGTGGTCCCTGACCCAGCATGCCCCCTACCTCCTCCACCTCCTGCAGTGTGTAGTGGCTTCCAGGGTCCTTGGTCATCGGGTGCACTCGGGCTCCTGGGGGCAGGACAGAGCGGGCCGTGAGGGTCCCGCACACACTGTAGGAGCCAGTGTTGGGCACCAGTGGCCCTGGTGAGCAGGGGGCCCTGTGAGGGCTGGACCCTGCCCACTGTGGCACCCTGGCCACCTGCCTGACGTGGAGGGTGGACTCTGCCCAGCGAGAGCCTCTCCGTGTGAAGAGCCAGGGCCATCCTGGCCGCTGGCTGTTGGAGCCCAGGCTCCTGGGGCACTCTTGACAGAGCTCAGCTCAAATGCCCTTTCTCAGGCCATGCTGACCACTGCCCCCCAGGCAGAGCATGAGCTCCCAGGGGTCAGGGCTGCACCCCAGGGCTGGCACAAGGAGGCCCACAGGCGTGATGGGTGAAGGCCAAGGGTGAGTGAGGCAGCAGTCTTGCCCTCCGTTGGAGCTGGGACTCCAGGACCAGGCCCTCATCTGCCCCCCTCTCTCTGTCCCTGTCCCGGGTGCCACTCACGGCCAGAGTTGTGGGAGGGGAAGAACCCTTGGCTCAGGGGACAACATGGGGACAGGGGAGGGGCCTGCTGGCCATAAACTGCCGGCATCTGAGCCTGTGTGCCCGGATGTCCCTTTGGGTCCTAGCCTCTGCTGATCCTGGCTCCTTCGGGGTCGGGACGCTCTCAGTGGTCAAGGTTGTGCATTAACCAGCATGGCCACGGTGGAGCTGACCAAGCCCACGTCCCTCAATGCCACGATCAATCAGTAAACCCAGGGCACACTCCTGCTCCTGCCTTTCTCCCAGAAAAGTGTACTCGGGAGGCGAAGTGTCTGTCCACACCTCTGCATTTTGTGGATCACATCAAGTTCCAGAAGGAATGCTGCTAAGCTTTGAGGGAAGGCTTCTGCTTCTGAAACCCCAAATCTCACCCTGTCACAGAGCAGAGCTGGTGCCCAGGGCCCTGGACGGTGGCCGGGGCTCTCGGGACTGTGCGCTGGGACTGGGGGCTTCCCTGCAGTGCCACCCCCTATGCACTCCAGAAACCACTCAGGGGGCTGGGGGTTCGGGGCCCCCGTGCTGTTCCCAGCATGTCAGAGTCAGCCCCTGAGTTCCCTGAGCCTGCCTGGAGGAGGCAGCGGGCTGGCTGGAGGCGCGTGTGGGAAGGGCCACACGGGGGGTAAGCGCTCACCCGGGGACAGGGGCTGCCAGCTTCACACAGAGGGAGGTCAGGGAGGCCTCGAAGGGTGGAGCCAGGGCCGTCCCCACCTGGTCCTCTCCCTTACCGAGGCGCTCCCCGATGTCTGCGGCTCGCTGCCCCCAGATGCCATTGACCCCAACCAGGAAAGAGTCGCCCGGCTCCAGCACGTTGATCAGGGCAGCCTCCAGGGCACAGTGTCCCGAGCCACTGATGGCCAGTGTGAGCGGGTTCCTGGTCTGGAACACGTACTGGATGCCTTCCTTGATCTCGTCCATGATCTGCGGTGGGTACAGGGTGAGACCCAGGCCCCCACCTCCCCGAGTGAGGAGGCAGTGACTGCCCCCCCACCGTCCATGATCTG